GTGCTAGCAACGAGCATGCTTTTAACTGGGGGCGTGTAGCAGTTCTCGCCTTAAAGCAAGACCGACTCTCGCGAGACTTCTGAGCCTGTGGGTGCGGGCCGAGGGCTCCTGCAATTGCAAGTGCGGTATTTCCCCCACAGACCACCAGGGCGGCCGAGAAAACCTTTGCTCAACCTGAAATGACTCATTTAATCATCCAAAACGTTATGGAACACATTAATTAACTGAAAAATGTTGCATAGTGTGCCTTTAAGATAAATGATGATCAGGTCATCTTTACTGCTGGATAAAGTAATTTTGAATGAAGGAGTTGCCATACCATTAGAGGTCAATGCCCACATAAAGGCAAAAACCCAAATAGCATTTTTGACCAATATTTCCAGATTCTTTTCATTTCGACACAGCAGGATGAGGAAGTGTTATCCTGACACATCACTTCTATTTTTGGAAGGGAGATGGAAGGTTAACATTGCCACATCAGGCCACCACCGTCCACCTCCATGACTCGGCTTTTTACTGCCATAGAAACCTGTGCTGAATCTAATCGGCGGCGATTTAAAGAGTCAAGCTTCCTGTAAATCATGGTTTATTCAAACTTCATGGCGGTTGATTTCCTGTAACTTTTAAGTGCTTTCCTGTTCTATTGAATGAGTTTTTCGAGATCATTGCCTCACTATCTGGCAATTTAGAAGATGTAGAAATCTAGCAAACAATACATGAGAGGTTATCATCCTTAGATGAAAATCAGGTTAGTGTTTTTTTGTGTTTATTAGAAGAGCTCATTTAAAATTGAGGAACAGAGAGTTCAACCACACCCTTTTTAATAAAAGCCCTTAACTTAGATAACATGTTTGTGGTATCTAGAGATGGGAGATGTGGAGCCATCATGTCATCTCTATGGCTACGTTCACACAGCAGCCTGAAGTGGCCCAAATCCAATTTTTTTTTGTCCATAAGCGTCCTGGATCTGATCTTTTCATGGCAGTCTGAACAACACAGATCGTTTTGTTCTAATGCGACTCAGGCCACTTGGCTATGTGATCCTCAATCCGATACGAATCCGATCTTTCCAAATGCGACCTGCGTCTGAACGACCAAGTCTCATTCATCCGACCTGTACGGCATTAATACTCGACAAAGGTCACTATTCTCTGTTTTTCTACACAGAGACAAGAATAAAAACAATAACTATGGCAGACGATGATGCGGAGAGCAGTCTTCACAAACCATCTTAAAAAAGATTGGGTTGTTAAAGGAAGAGTCCGCTCATATTCAGCATTCAAACTTCTGAAAGTACCTTAAATGTTACGTTTTTAATTGAAAGTAATTTTCATTTGAATGTCTTTACTGGAGGCATCCATTTTTGCCACCTACCGGTTTGTGACCCCACTTGGGATAAGCGCGACATAAAATGGATGGATGATCTCACACTGGTGAAATTCACTCTCTACATTTTGACCCATCCCCTTGGAGAAGCAGTGGGCTGCCATCGTGCGGCGCCCGGGGAGCAGTGTGGGGTCAAGGGTCTTGCTCAGGGACCTAAAGTGCAGGGATAGAACCGGCTACTTGCAACCTTCTCAAAGCACAGATGCACTGCTCTAAGCACAAAGCAACACTCCTTGTAGAGATGATTCAACATCTCCCGCCTGTGGCGTTAATCCACACTTACAAACATCTCAACATATTGATTCCCCAGTATCCAGATCAGACCTTGGAACTTAATGCTACCTTAGAAATACCACTATGATGGAAATCCTCCTGCCAGAAAATGAGAGAAGATGCAGAAATTAAAACCAAACCGTTATCACGTCTTCTGGGCGTGATAATGCCCAATTATATAAGACTTCTGGAAAGAGATAAATACTGCCTCACAAGATTATTTTCCAGCAGAACATTCCTCTGGAGATCAAGCTTATGTATTTTGCTATAATTCCTCAAGGAGCTTCAAAAACTAAAAAAAAATATTAGATGACTATTTTATTAACAGCAAGTAAGACAAACATTACAAGAAAATGGCTATCACAAGACAAACCAACTTTAGACAACTAGATCAATATAACATATAAAATATATATAAAATGGAAAAAATAATAATGGCCTCTGAGTCACAAGACTGAACTGTTCTGTCAGTGGTGGCAGATTTGAGTAGACTATGTAAAACTTAAAAGATCTGATTTCATTTTTAGAGACCTAACTTTCAACAAACAAATTTCCTTGACAATCCACTATTCTATGATAGCAATATTTCATAATTATTTCATACAGTGTTTTTCGTTGTTTTTCTTTTTGTTTCATCTTTTACATTCTCTACCCAGTGGCGCCACCAGGGGGTAACCACCCTGTCCAATGCCCGGGCCACCCCATTCGCCAGTGTAAATGGTAATAGCATAACAGCCAGCGACGTAACATTAAAAATCACACAATAAACCAAGATATGAGTAGATGTTTACTTCAGTAAATGACTAACTGGATGTGCTCTCTTCATCCTCTGACATGGGAGATGACTCGGAGCTCTGCTTCTGCCTGGCTGTGTGTTTCCTGGATGGGCCGCTTTTTACAGCTGCTTTTGTATCTCTGCTTCTGTCTCCTTGAACCCCAGTCGGCCTCAGCAGATGGCTGCTCACACTGAGTCTGGTTCTGCTGGAGGTTTCTTCCTGTTAAAAGGTAGATTTTCCTCTCCACTGTCGCTACAAGCCAGACATGTTCACAAGTCATTTTTCGCAAGTCCAAGTCAAGTCTCAAGTCTAGACTAGGACTGTTGCAATATTAAATTAATCGCACAATAAATTCTAATCACATGATTAATTAAAATAACTTCAATAATTTGCGTGCTTGCTTGTTTCTCCTTGTGTTGTCATCTCCTTCACTGAGACGGTATAGCTTAAAGGTCGCTATTGTATCTATGGAAAGATCATTATCTTGAACTGGTAAGTGAAAAATACATGCTTATATGTCACGTAGCGTTGCGTCAGCGACGTCAGTGCTACATAACTGTTTGACAGCCCCTCTGCCGTTTTTTTATCTCTGCTGTGTGCGGGTAAGGCGAGCGGCGATCAGTTAGTAAAACAAAAAACACTTAAAAAATAAAATATTGTTCACAAGTCGGAAATCGCGAGTCTCGGTTGAGTCTGAAGTCATTAAATATGCGACTTAAGTGCGACTCGAGTATGAGTCACAAACTCGAGTCCCCACCTCTGCTACAAGCATGCTTAGTGTGAGGGATTGCTGAAGAGTCAAAGAGTCGATGCAATCAGCTGTTTTGTTTTGCTTAGATGGAAAATTTTGAATGAATTTGACTGTATGATCTGGTGAACTGGAAAGTGCCTTGAGATGACATGTGTTGCGAATTGGAGCTATAGAAATAAACTGAATTGAAATGAAGTCTTTATGATTTCTACTGGCAGGTTTAACACAATAGTAGATTAAAACCCTGAAATTATGGCTTTTCAGCGTTTCAGTGTGTCACCCGTAGATTTTTAGTGGCCCTATCTGCTTCCCCCCATTGAAACATTTCTGGAGGCGCCACTGTCTCTATCTCTTGCTTTATAATCTTTGCCGGGGAAGTGAGGTTGTATTTCTGTTTAGACTGATATAAAAAAATGGCCTTCTTGTCCACCTTATTTCAAATGTAGTAATTAATCTTATGATGTAGAGGCCTAAGTTTTTGTAGATGATACTTTCATGAGAATCAATAAAGATAAGATAAAAATAAAAACTTAATTCTGCCTGCGTCAGGCGCCGCAACATGCTAGCTCAGAATTTTTTAAACATGACTGAATTTTCATTCTGTATAACTGGTAACTCTGATTTCAGATGCAGGCGGTTCTCTGCTCTGACTTAGCAAAGATTCACCACTTGTCCAAGTTTAGCTTTAGACAGCGAAACAGAAATAACTCCAGATCTGGTTTCAAGCCGGTTCTGGAATCACCGCTGGTGGAAAACAGGCTGCTGATGTACTCATGAGCAGGACCTGTTCCGCTGTTTGTTCTCTAACAACATTGTTATTGTTATTTCAGCCTTTAGCTACTAATCACATGAGAGTTGATCATATTTTTATGCTCATATGAGGCCCTAAGTCTGTATGTGTGTGTCTGTGTTCTTCTCTGTCATGTGAAATGATGATATTTTTATGTTTTGCACGGCCTGCTTAATTTGCGGAGGGACTACAGACACAGAGACCAAGGAGACAGATGCTCACTGCAAATCCTGGAAAAGACATAATTATATCTCCTCGCAGTATGAATTCCTCAATGAGAGGCCTGTAACTGATGGAGCTGTTAGAGAGTGAGCAGTAGTGATTTAGTGACACATCAGCTGAACAAGTGAATACAGATGTAGAAGAAAGTAGAACAAAAAAAATGAGGCAAAAGAGGAGTGGGGGGGGGGGGTGCAGCTTCAAAGCAGAGCAGTGGGGCAGAAATACACACCGTGGGGTAAAGAGATGGAGCCTACAGCTACTAAATGTTGTGGCTTCTCACTTATTTTTAGGTCACACACATCCAGCCTGGTCAGCGTGAAAGGATCACACACTGGTGCCACCTGCTGTCTGTATATTTAGTTTGTGGACAGCTGCGTGTCTCTGAACATTTTTGTTACCTCATTAGAGCTTTTGTCGTTTTTATAACCACCTTGTTGTAGCCTCTAGTCATGTTGGAGCTTCCTGGCTTCATTTAAGGCATTTTAAGAACTGGTTTGGGTTAAAGTTTGATGCTTTTAAAGGTTTAAACATCAAAGTACAACCAGCAGTAGCTTCCTACAACGATTCGGTGATAAACTTGCTAATAAAATGACATCTAAAGAAAGAGCTCAACCTTTCCTGGTCTGACTTGAGGTCTGACTTATATAAATATAATAAGCTGTTAGGAAGAAATCAATGTTTTGCCAGAGGATATCTATAAAATAAGGTCAAAATGCATCAGAGGTGCATTTCCCAGAATGCTTCCTGTCTCTCTGCTCTGATTGTGATGTCCTGTGTTGTTTTTTCTCTTCTGTGTCTGCAGGGTGACTGAATCGGTCGTCTTGGAGCTGCCCTGAGCTGTTTGCACACCAAAGGTGAGCAGCAATACTCCACTCAGATCTGTGTTGCTGCTTTTCAAGTGAGCTGCTGTGCATTTTATATAAGCTCCGTGTTAGCAGGCATGGCTGAGCATTTTCTCCTGGGACCTGCACCAGTTTCAGTCCCCAGAGCACTGATTCAACTCTATGAATTCAATAGAGGATCCAGGCCAGGGCTCATCAGAGCTTCTCTAACATTACATACATAGCAGGTGGAGCAGGGCTGACCCTGAGTTCAAGGACAGCAGACATTAAAAATGGGAGAAAAAAGAACTACAATGATTTGGCTTGGCAGAGATATTACTGGAAAAAATGTACAGGATGATGGCGTAGATAAGGATAGAGCTGAAAATACACCAACAGGTACAGTGAGTATATTTTAGATGAAATAAATACTGCGAGGAGGGAAAAAAATAGAAGTTAATGAATTAATAAGGGGAGCAGACAAAGACAGAAGAAGAAGACAGACTGATCACAATCGAGGTACAGAGGCATCTAGGAAAGGGGCGAGGGGCTTTTAAATTGGTTCGTTCAACACAATCCCTATGAGGAAGCGAACAGGGGAGGAAGGGAGAATTCTTCAGCTGATTTTTTAGAACATAAATGATTTGGAAAGCTCCTGTAACTACAGAGATGCTCTGTTTGCCGATGACTTTGTGATATGTGGTGGATCAGCAGGAAGGGCCTGGAGAGGAGAAGGGATGAAGACCGAGTCACTAGAAGCACCAGAGAAAGTATAGGCCGTTTCTCAATATGCGTCTTGAGCGTTCTTGTGTGCTCGTGACACGTCATCAGCCTCAGCCCGAGTACCGTTCCAATTCTCAAGAACGCCAGATCGAGAACGCACCAAATCCCCAGATGTTGTTCTCGCCCCGCCCTCTTTATCGAGCATGCATCAGAGCAGACTTGTGCGTTCTTCAGACTGACCGCTTCCCCAGAATGCCCCGCGGCCGCAGCTTGATTCGAGACGCTCACAGGCGCTCACAGTGGTAAGTTAAACATTCCCTTTTCTGCTGCTGTTGTTCTTCAAAAGTTCAATTTAATTCAATTCAGTTT